TCTACCCATTGGGTCTCTACCCATTGGATCTCTACCCATTGGGTCTCTACCCATTGGGTCTCTGTCCATCTGATCTCGAACATTCCCACCACCAGCTCCCCCGGCTCCCCCTACTCCAGTCATTCCCCCTACTCCAGTCATTCCCCCTACTCCGGTCATTCCCATAGAGACAGCTCCAAACGCCTGGCTGGCTCCAAAACCTCCTTGTCGTCGGTCTTCTCCGCCAGTGTTATTTTCCATGTGTCTCAAACTCGGATGCGACCCAGTCTTCGGGTTCATAACACTCACGCCCGTGCCACTCACGCCCGTGCCACTCACGCCCGTGCCACTCACGCCCGTGCCACTCACGCCCGTGCCACTCACGCCCGTGCCACTCACACTTGTACAGGTACCAATGTGCGTAGCACCAGTGCGGATAGCGCCAGCGTGCATAGCACCTGTATGCATAGCACCTGCGCCCGTGGCACTCGTGGGCATAGAGTCGGTGGGGAATTCGTCTAGGCTGCTTTGGTCGTCGACGCTGGACTGTTCGGCCTCTAGCGCTCTCAGATCTTCTCTGCCGTGTGCATGACGGCAGTCTTGGCCGGCGGGACAGTACCCTCTTTGCCAGAATTTACAAAGTCTCGTCTTGAAGAAGGTGCTGGTGGCCCTCAGTTCTACAAAGTCGTGTGCAAACCGGCAGCCCGGTCGGTCGCAACGCTTGTGTTTAACAATTTCCGGACACAACTTGGTCTTGCTAAGATCCGGCTTCGGCCGCAGTTCCTCACGGCTATGGGCATAATTACACACACTCCCCATGAAGCACTTTCCCTCCTTGTGCCATGGACACAACTTAGTTTTATGGTACTGCGTCTTCTTATGCAGGCTACTAGTACTCGCAGTCCCCCGACCACTCGCACCCCCAGTACTACTGCTCTCATCCGTCACACTATTCGCACGCGTCTTCCCTCGCGGCGGCTGTCCTCCCGCTAGTGACACCCCCATACCATCCAAACTCTCCAAAAGGTCCTCATCCAATAAACCAAGCTTACCTGCAGAACACAAAGTGTTGTACCCACAAGTGTGCGCATACAGCGACTGCCGTGTATGGGCATATGTACATCGCAGGTGTTGTTCATCGTAGGTGTTGTTCATCGTAGGTGTTGTTCATCGC